GATACCCTACTGACATGCGCACTAGTTATTGGATTTGTTTTAAATACCCTACTGACATGCGCACTGGCTCTTGAGTTTGTTTTAGATACCCTACACGCATGCGCACTGGCTCTTTAGTTTGGTTTTGCTGCCCCTATTGACATGCGCACTAGTTCTCTGAATGTCTGACTGATATAACGTATTTTGACAGATCCCTACATCAAGATCTCTCTCTTCTGTGACGGAATAAGGATTTCCAAAGCAAACACAAGAGTCAAGAGGAAAACTCTCAACCCAATCTACAATGAAAAATTTAACTTCAACGTAACATCGGACCAGATCTCCCTTACCACAGTCGTACTGAAGGTCGTCAATCACTATGACGTCACGCACGGTGGCGGCGGAGGCCTAGGGCAAGTAATACTCGGTTATAATTCTCAAGGGTCTGGGCAAGAGCATTGGAATGCAATGGTGGAATCACCAGGCAGACATGTGGAGAAATGGCACAAAGTTTACAAGGATAACTCGATATAGAGAAATAAACCAACTGGTATTGGTTAATTCTTCGAGGATTTGAGAAGACAGGACAAAAAGTGCTAATAATCATGCCATAATGCTGACTGCAGCACAAGTTGGCCAGTCGAGAAAACATGCTAATAACGTGCTACGTTACTATGGTATCGCTACTGAATACACCAATGAGAGTACGTTAATGATCATAGTGAGTAACAGTACCTAATCGTACGAGAAAATATGATGATTATGGTATGAACACCGAAAACATGTCATCAACCATCATCTCAATCGCCTTGAGAAACGAGGTGTTTGAAGAAGAGGAAAAAACAAACACGCGATTTCCTAACCACACTCGCCTTCCTATCCAAGATGCTAAAGATGCGCATAGAACAAGAACATCAAACAGATCGGATCAAGATAGATCAGGATAGGTCAGGATAACCACACATTCCTGTCATCAAGCGAAGGCCATAAGAACGACAACCACAAACAAACCTTGCTTACGTTACTGCACGTACTGATCACTTCTACTGATAATCGATTCCACAGCCTTCGATAACACTCAGCTATGTTACGACAGCAGATACAAGGAGAGCGAGCGCAGTGATGCCTTTGGACAAAGACTCTACAGTTATTGAGTTTCATTTGGGCCTAGTTGAGCAGGAGCCGAAGGGCTGCATGTCCAATACATTGATGCTGCGTGCGCTTTACGAGAGTAAAGGAACAGCGTTATAATGAACAGAACTTGAACTTGTCTTGTGTTATAACTTGTAAAAAGGTTTGTTTTATCTCGTTTATGTACACACAAAAAAAATTCTAGTAGAAAAAAATAAGACATACAAACATAATATATAAAAAGGGGCACCTTTGTTATTCTATAAACTATTGCGATAGATATAATATTATTGTAGAGAGAATGATATTAGAATGGCGCTTCATGTTGACAGCAAGAATCACCTATGCAAAAAATACTATGTTTTTAAGTATAAGGTTAGTTTGGACAGAAAATAATAACAAATTCATAGGATTGTATCAATATTTAAATAACCTTAAGAAAACTCCATTATAAAATACAAATTATGGGTCTCTTGCTATAGTACATCAGATGGATGACCATCACTGGAATATTACAGGACCTTTTAACATTAGACCCAATGTTTTCGCACCCATTTCAGACCACGTGTCATTCTCTTGAAAATAAGATTCTTTGTTTGAGTGGTATCCATCTTCGTTTGTCATCTCTTGCGCAACCGTTAAACAAAGAAATAAGACTCTAGGGATTAAAACGCGGTCTGAAATGGGAAAACTGATGTCCAAGGTAAAGAGATCTATTAGACTTGTAGTGGATATTTTGTAGGTAATCCTTAATTCTCACTTTGAAAAAACATGTTATAGTCCACGCAATCCTCTACTTATATCGATTGATGCATTGGTAATGTACCCTTCTCGATAAGGAATCGATTCCTTCCGATGGGGTAACTTGGTGACCACGCTTCCTTCCTCGTGGAGCGCAGAACGATTTGAAATGAAGGACATAGCATTAAAATATTGAAGTTCAAAAGAATAAGTATCCATAATGAAATAAAAACTATATGTCTATTTGAAATTGATTATATGAGACAGCCACTGACTTTATCTTATATATGTATGTATTTGTATAGACCCCTTGCAGTATATCATAATGCAGCTCAATTTGGAGGACATAACAATAGATTTCCAATTCTCAGGAGATTGAAATTGTCTCTTTGTGCTCAAATGCGAGCTGCTTAGACGTCACATGCAAGGGGTCTACAATTGACCACGTGATACAGAGATCACGTGACGTGTGGCAAGGGGACTGAATTCTTTCACGTAGGCCAGTGGTTTGAAGACGTCTTTAGAGAAGATATAAATTAAGATGGAGGTTGATAAATAATTTCTACTCAAGATACCATATATTGAAAAGAAAAGAAGCGAAATCCTCTCTCGAGATGCCGACGAACCATATTGGTATTTTTATCAAGTATCGAGAGGAGAAGCGCCCGTCTCTGATCAGCCACTGGGTGGAATCTAATTATGATTGTTAGATTTTTATCTTAACAACATTCTTTATACCTTAGAGACTTTAAGATCAGTTATCGGTTAATTCTAAGTCTTGCACGATCCCTCTATTACCGGAGCCAAGTTTACACGACTGTTATCATTGTTTAAAACCGCATGTTTTGCTCCAGTCCCGATAAACCGACTAACAATCATACATCGGTGAACATCGCTGTACCATTCATCTCTTTAATCGAATTTTCAAAGTACAATTTTTCCCTCTTTAACAGTTTTAATTTAGATACGCAATTCTTTCTTTCAGTGGCTGCTTGTTTTGCGTCTACACTAAAGATTAATTGCGCTCCTTTAATACAATGGAGGTACGTCTATCGCGATATCAAACTATGTTGTACTATTTTATCCCGTGATTCAATACTAAAGCAAGCAATAATTTTGGCACTAAAGAATCTACAATATAGAGGAAAACTGGCAAATTGAAAAGAGGCCGTTGAGGTTGACAGAACTGGTCAGAACGCGTCACTAATAATATTGCTACGTGAAGCTGAATACAAAGAAGATTTTGATATTAGGATTTTAGAACCACCTTGAAATGATTTGAATCACTTAGCTTTTCTAGAATTTATGACCAACTCCCCGCGATTCGTTTATTTCCTGGAGACCAGACTACTTTAGAGTATAAGACAATAAACTTAGCTTAACTTTCGTGCTTTCTAGTAAGAGAACTATCCAACCTTCTTAGCAGTTTCGTAAGTGAAGTCTCATAAGAGAGTCAAGGTGTACCGTCTGCAGTATTCGACCGACTTTATTCACAGACTAAAGTGTGTGCTACAAATAACTCTGCGAGAGAATAAATCATGTCTAAATCTTTGCATCCTAGTTTCATACCATTACGAAGTCAAGAGTATTTCGAGTAAAGTATAGTTCCACCACACCCAATTGAATGGCATGCTCTTGTGCAAGAGGGGGGTCGTTCAAATGTTTCATATTCGCACCCCTATTGCTACCGGACTGTATAAAAATCTAGCTGATCCAAGAAAAAAAGGAGAATTAGATTTTTAGAGTTTTATTTGACACTAGGTTGAATGCGAAGCAAAAACGTTTTCAGGAAAGACTCGCGCGCGCTTCGTCGGAACTGAGATCAAAGTCGGCTGACCAACAGGAAATGAATGGCGCAAAACGTAATGATTATAAAATACACTGTACCATTCGGTAAAGACAATCAAAACAGACCTGGTATTCAGAAACTACAAGTCCATCATAGACGTATCCCGGGAATAAAAGTCAAAAATACCTTAAAATACACAACATTAGCGTTAAACTGCCTATTGTTTACAGGGGGTGGTTGATAGTTTGCTCAGTCGCCTTTCGGGACGAAGGGGTTTTAATGTGTATACATCAAAGGCCGCATTTGTGATCAGTATGTAAGCCTATTAATAAATTGATCTTATTTACGTAAGGCATTCCAGGATGACGACATAGTGAATTATGACCTAAAAGAGGACACGTTAATTTAAAACCGCAAAATGAGGGAAAGCGACCCGAGACAGAGGAATGAAGAACATCCCATAGAGACCAAAGAAAAAAATGGATAAAGATAGATGTATGTTTGTGTTGTCAACAGCATTAATGTGATTTCCTGGGCGGTACTTAAGCGCACGTGTCTGGTTTAAACGTCTCATCTTACACCAATTAATTCCCATCGACACACTGTGCAAAAACAATCACAAAACAAAACCTATGAAATATCTTTGTTGACTTTGCAAATTTACCATGAAATTGACTTTAGGACGAACACAATAAACTCCAGAGCACCGAGTCAACGCGGCGTTCTTTCAAGACTAGTTTTGTAGACGTAGAATCGATTTATTCTAAGTTGGTTAGTCGCTTTACAATTTCGGTCTTAATCTCCTTCTTAATTGCTAATTTGTTTTGAGATCTAATCATCAATGTACTTTATCAAGCCCCAGGAATGTGCTCAATGTACTCTCCTCGGAGTTTTTTCGAACCTCATTAAATGCATCAAAAGATTTCCTTAGCGCTCCGAAACTCCTAAAACCCGAAAATACTTCTGTAGTGCTGTGCGTGGAGTTTCTAGCGAGAAGTTGTGTGTTGACGAGTGTGGAGCGTGCGCCTGTCGAGTTCATAAAATTAGTTATAAAAACAAAGCGAAAGACAACCCTAAACAACTTGAGATCTTATATTTTTGTAAGGAATGCGCTCGACCGGAATCTACTGAGAGATGACAGACAGTAAATGGGGGGCAGATGGGTCGTCACATTCCTCATTTGCACCGCAAACTCTCAGTGACAAGAGGTCTATCTTCGATTAGGATCGGGTGGGGAGTGACAAGCTTTTGACTTGAAACTAATGCAAGGCCATTAGTACGCTGGCATCAGTCGTTCTTTCGTACTGTGAGCAAGAGAGAGTACGAAGCCTGCACTCTATTAGACACACGCTGTATTTTGGTACTGTAAACATCGAATCAATAAGTCACTGTGGGTGGCCGTAAGTGCTTCTCAGACCAATAGCGCATTTAAAGACGCGTGAAAATCCAACTGGTCCACTTGACGGAGTGACAAGACACGCGCGGTAACCGCTACAGTACAGTACAGCAACAACTTGCATAAAAAGATAAAGTCCTACGCTACGGTAATAATCGAAATCTGTAGAGATAATGGAACGATTAACAGGAAATGCGTTTAGTTCCTTTGGATTTGAAAAGCTGAGGATGGAAGGATCTAAGGGACTTGCTACAGGAAATGAGTTCAAAGACAACATACCGCAACACTCGGCTGCCATAAGCGAGGAACGAATACACGAACAAATTCCTCTGGTTTACCACGGAGAGCCTCGAGTACCTGCCTATTACTGCCCCTACAACCCAGCTATAAAACCCAACGATAACATTCAAGACGAGTTATTTAACATGAACGGCGTGAGTCATCAGAGCAAGCCGTATCTTACGGATGAAGTGAAGCCTCCCTTCTCGTATATCGCACTCATAACAATGTCCATACAATCATCGCCGTACAGAATGCGTACCTTGAATGAGATCTACGAGTTTATCATGACGAGATTCCCGTACTTCAGAAAGAATCAACAAAAATGGCAGAACTCCATCCGACATAACCTCTCTCTCAATGACTGTTTTGTCAAGGTTCCTCGCAGTATATTTGGTAAGCCAGGCAAAGGGAATTACTGGACGCTGCATCCTTCATGTGGAGATATGTTCGGCAGTGGAAGCTTTCTTAGAAGACCCAAGAGATTTAAGTGTAGAATCCCACAAAGTTCCAACGAGCCTGCACATATCAGCAAAGTAGATTCGTACCATCATTTCTCGCTCTACGGCGGTTCATCGTGGCCCTATGTTGCCACATCACAACCATTGGTAAGTCCTCGCCAAATAAGTCATCTTTACGGCGTTACTAACAGGGCTGATGTACGACAAATCGAGCTCAAATACTCTCCAAGTGTTGTACGACCGAGAGCTTGTTATCCCGTCGAAGAATATCATCACCAACACACCACAAAATCGAAAACAAGAGGGTTTTTTATCCAAGACTTGATGGAATCGTCCTCGGAATTGCGCGACAGAGACAGTGACTATGAAAATGAACAATACTAAAGACACATTTAACTCGTCTCTTGAAGATTATAAATATCTATGAACTGTTAGACTTTGTACGCTAGAGTGAAATGACACAACGTAAACAGAACAACTCTCTCTCTTCTCCGTGTATACACACTGTACAATGTACTTGTGAAGCTCGAGTTAAGTCTATTATAATTTATCAACTTAAATTGGTTAACTTGTACAATTCATTAAGAACTTCGCGTTTTCATTGATTATCAATATTTATAGTTCATTTTGAGGAATCTCTGAACTAGTTCTGACAAAGGCTTTAAGCTTTACTTGTCAAATTCATTAGTTAAGTAAATTCATTCTTGCTTAGTTCAGAGGATGGCAAACAGTTTGTTAGCTTGTCTTTTAACGATGCTTTATGAGGGAGATTTTGCTAAGCATACGTCCACTGAATAATTCGACAAAAATTGAAAAGAAAAGGTTATAGTTAAACGAACAAAGTACTAAACTTTCAAAGTGTCAACTGAAAAACTAGTTTTTCACAGCTTGAATTTTTATACCATCCAAGCGCATAAAATAATTTCTTCAGGTTTAGACTCAACATTTCACTCTGTTTACTTATCGTTCTCAAAAAGTATGTAAACTTTAACGAAGTTTCGTTCATCTTAAGAAGTTTTTAAAATTTCCTACGGTAAAATCTTTTATCTAATTGTTTTGATTTCATGATAAATGTAAAAGCTTAAGAGTCTATCATGGCGGTGGCAGAGAAGCTAAAGTAGTACGTGGAGCTGGACTCTTGACTACATGTCTCTTGAAGCAGACTAAAGCTAGCTGCCATCTTCGTATAAAAATTATATATTTGTTATTAAGATTATTGTTCAAAGAATGAAATGTTTGATGTAATAAAGTATTTATAGCCATTTTTTCGCCTCCTCGTGGTTGTTTGTGGGACAAGCCATGTTTTCTTGATCATAATCATCCCAGCTTGAGGCGGATGGGAGTGGTATGGGCAATCAGGAAGCAAAGTAAAACGTGTACTATAGCATCACTAATAAAACTCCTTGATTTTATCTTACTTCTTACGTACTTGTTATCTTTGTTCTTCCTAGTTTTGGTATGTAATTCTTACTTAATTCTTTTGTCAGTTATTCTTACTTGGATCGAGTTTGTCTGGATTCTCCAGGCTCAGACGAGTGGCACCAGAATAGACAACTGATACGACAAAGAATCCTTCCAACTTGCTGCAAGGTGACTTTAAGTGTACAAAAATATTGTACAACACGCCAAGGCAAGACAACACTTGCAAGAATGATCAAAACACTGCTATTGTTTTGGTCTTAGTTAAGTAACTTAAAGTCTAGTGCTAAGGCATTAACTAAATCCTTAAGGATTCAAGATAAGAGTCTAGGATCTTGGCTATTTATTTATTGATTTAGGCGTTTAAGGCCTTAAACACGAGGTTAAAACCATGAAAGCACGAGAGAAGCCTTGCACTCGAATTAGTATTTAGTTCGTTTAATTGCTAGTCTACTTTACGGTGTTTTGTCGAAGGTTTTGAGGTTTTTAAAGAACCTGTATATGATTTATTATCATTGTTAATGAGAGTCGTTAATAAACTAGAAAATGTAATGTAAAGAGTTGGGGAAAAAACTCTGGTGTTCTTTCAAGAGATCCATCTAGTACCAATTGTAGTTGAACTGGACTATTTATAACATCGTAAATAACGAGGAGAGAACTAACGAGTAGTCAAATAGTCCAGCTTGGTGCTGTAAATTGAGAGACGGACTGATAATGCAAAAATATCGGGGGGAAAAGCAGCAAACAAAAAGAAGAGAAAGAGGACAAGAAGAGATATGGAGGTTTAGTAACGAGTGCGACAGGAACCGACAAAGACTTTTTATTTGCACAAATCCAAACAATGATTCTAGTACGATGCAAGAAGTTTATATTATGTACATGGATTCGCTCGGCTATTAACATTGATAAATTATTAGCAAATAATGAATCACTAATATTAGCTCCCTTTTGGCTATCTACTAATTGCTTTGAATAAAAAATTAGAGTGTTATCTGATGACGCGCCTTCTGCATGGCAGGACTCCACCTAAAACAATACTGTTCCATTACGACAGACCGCGAAGGCACTAAATTCCTGACGATAAAAAACTACAGCACATGCTAGAACAGTACAGTATTGAATAATAAAAGAAATAAAGAAACCAAACCAAACAGAGATCGAAGAATGTGAGGATTAGTCATTCACAACAAAAAGATGGAAATCCCTTTACAAACAAGATGGTTTGACAAAGGAACTACCGACTATAGACGTACCGCTTCCACTCGACCAGGACTGTCGGAGAAATTCTTCTTTGAAATAATAAAAAGATTGCAGGGCTGAGAGAGTAACAATTAATGGACGGTACACCTCGAATAGACTTCTATTTTAAGTTCGATGGTCAACGAAGAAGAGTTAGTTAGCGCGCTTTTCGAGAGGAAATTCCTTCAATACAAGGTTTGTTTGAATAGATTCACTCGCATTGACTCAGTTCAAGCCACATGAACCAAACTTACGTCGTGTATGTCTCGGACCGCGATGGCTTCTTGTACGTTTTTTGAGGTTTTCCTGTAGAATATTTCAATACCAATTGACAGCAAAGTAAAAGAACTATAGAAAAACATTGCTGTATTCAACTACTGTAAGCGCCGTTTGAAATATGAATGTGTACTTCAACTATGTTCAGTTGAGGAAAAACGCTTTGAATAATAAATCAAAAACCGACAAGAAATGACTTATTTTGGGCTCCAAAACAACTGTATCTTCTAAATATTTTTCTAAAACTCGTCAGTTTTGTAGCCACAGGACAATGTGTTTTTACTGCGAATTATTTGGTTTGTTTTCTCATAGTTTTATAATCAAGCAATGATCAGTTTTTCCTAGTCGTGTACTCTCGCTTATTTTAAGCATCCTCTACCTCCTCTATTCAAAACGACTTTTGGCAAAGCAAAGCTGAAAGATTTTTAAAGTTAGTTCTTAAAGAACTAATAGGATTAATGAGGCACGACAATAGTTTTAAAAGAATTATAAAATCATTGAAAAAATGTTCTGAATTGATAATTCATAGGGAGGAATATATATTTTTGTTTCTTTATATTGAAGATAAAAATATACCAGTCCTTCTCTTGGCGTTAACTCCAGTAACGGGGACATTTTGTAAACCTTATCTAGATCTTATCAAGCTAAAAAAACGAAAACTAAAAAACATCATTTTGAGTTTAGTAGAAGAGCAAAGGTATTATGATAGGAATCTTTTGATTAGAAGTAAAAACATCAAATAAGATGTTACTAATGCCTTGGGACCCGGTCGAGGTCATCATGCTTATCTCTCCGTGTGTCCAAATAAACACATTCAATCTACATTACCCTACAAACCAGATCATCACCCATTTCCTTTACGTAAACAGCTTGTTTTGTTAGGAAAATGTATGGGAACTGTTAGGACTGCGGATTGGTGGAACCATTCATCATTTTCGAACACTACCTCAGCGTCGGTCTATAAAGCTCTTTCCTTCAAACGCTTATGATTTTCTTAATTTTTTTGACGGTGATATTCTCTGTACTTAGCTTGGCGCACTATTTCAACGAGCTTAGCTTTTGATGGTTTAAAGAAGCTGCTTCACTCGCGAGCAAGCGAGCGCTTTGATCCTTCTCGGCAACAAGCGGAAGATCTACCAACAAATAAGCAGATATTTTTCAATGCAAAAACAAGTGTTTATAGGGTGTTCAATAATGTAACGCACTTCGCTAAGGTAATTACTTTCTACGCATGGAAGAATACTTTCCCAAGGACACAGTTTTCTGAGCGCGATTTTAACTATCGACAAAAACAGATGTTTTCACTTCTACGCTAAATTTGTTCACATCGCAAAGCAATTATTATTAGCACGCGTCGCGGACTTGGAAAGGTTCGTATGTTTGAATAAAGTCTCTGAGAAAACACAAAACCTCTGGAAACAAAACAAAGAGCTGTATTGATGTTTGAGGCGACAAGTTTTGGTAACTGAATCTCTCGCTTAATGGCGTTTCTTCGGCGGGTAGGGCTGCCAAACGTTTATTATGAATCCAAATATTTGTAAAAGTAAAGCCGAGGTGTCAATGTTTGAGCCGTTGATTTAATCATGAAGCAAATCTCCAGTCTCTTGGTTATCTAAATCACGATCTTAACATAACTAATAAGATGAACTTCTGTCCACATTAGACTAATTTGTAATGCTTTAGACTGTCGTTATATAGATATTTTTGTCATAACGTGTAGGGATATATTTAGATACATCACATAAGTATCACAGATGTGTATCATATGTAAATACCTATGCTTCAGCTCCTCTAACATCAACATTGCAGGATTGTACTCTGACGTCAATGGCGGAAAGACTAATGCGCATGCTCATTACAGGATACTAAACCTGTAAGACGTGTTTGAGATTGACTGACTTTTTTGCTTCGTTTCAAAAGTACCAGAAATGGAAAACTGAATGGAATTGAATATGAAATGAGAAGAAAAGGACAATTTTTTTTCACGGTTTCAATAGCTGGAACCAACGATTTAGACAAAACCTGGCGTTACATTTTTTTCAAGGGGATTCTTCTAAAATATCAGGGTTTTGTTTGCAACGCCCCCATTATGTTTGTTGTACTCCGTGTGTCCTGATCAAAAGTACAAACGTCATGAGTCTATTCGCATTACAATTGCGAGGTAAATCCATTACAATTAAACCAGAGGCTTCCAGGCGCGTCCAACGGGAAACATAATAAGTTAACAAGCAAACGTTTCTCTGTAATACATTAAAGGCTGACATGCTTGCTCGAAAAGAAAGAGACCGACCAAAATAAGGTACAAACCAGTGAATGATGGGGAAAACCTTATCACCACTAGACCACACACAGCTAGACACACAAGACCTGTCAGCGTACAGTACAGGTATTACTTGTATCTGTCGTCCAACCACTATAGATAAGATAACCACATCCATACTTCACAAGACGACTGGCATTACCCTTGGGAACTCACACGATTGATATAATGAGGTGAGGAAGGCCTGTGTATACAGCATACAGTACAGGTCTTACTTGTATCTGTCGTCCAACCATTATAGATAAGATAACCACATCCATACCTCACAAGACGACTGGCATTACCCTTGGGAACTCACGCGATTGATATAATGAGGTGAGGAAGGCCTGTGTATACAGCATACAGTAAATGTCTTACTAAACCGTCAAACTCTTCCTAGTGCGACCCGGGCCTTACTTGTATCTGTCGTCCAAGTACTATAGATAAGATAACCACATCCATACCTCACAAGACGACTTTTACTACCTCTGGGACCGCACACAAGACTGATATGATGAGGTGAGGAAGCTCTATAAGGCAAAACCACATCACTTCACATCCTTGGGACCTCACACACAGATTTCTATAGATAATGGTCCCGCGCGGATGATGTATGGGGGTAAGATACATTACATGGCAGTAGATTATGATCATATCCGACATTACATCCTTAAGACCTCACATGTACGATGTTAAAGCAAGAAAGCTGTAAGATGGTTGGATTACACATCCTTTGGACCTCACGCTTCTGATATTCATATAGATTATGGTAGAGAATGCTGTACTTTAACCATCGCTGTCTGTAATCAACCACAAAACACCCCTCCAGAGCCGGTACCCTTAACGAGCAACTCAAAACAACATTTATGGTTAAGACTTATTAACCTCGTATTAATAAACCAGAGCCAGAAGTTATTAAGCAAGTTATCAAAAGTTTATTATATTATTCACTTTCACTCGATAAATTATATATAGATTAAGGGCTTTTGTTTGGGGGAGGGGAGGGGGGTAGGGGGAAGGGATTGTTTTCATAATACGAAACAAAAACTATTAAAAAACCTAAAAATGATTCAAGAGTGGTCGATAGTTGTCTTTGTTGTAAGTAGGGCGAAATGGTACGAATGGCGTTACGTAACTGACGTGACGCGTGACATATTTACAAGAATAGAAAAGTACAATGGACAAGAATAGTATGTGTCACGATCTTTTGTCTCGATGTTTGTCGTCTGAGTAATGTTTCCTGCTTTCTTGAAGAGGACGTGGACTGTGGATGACATCCAGCGGGCTGTGCGCGTTTAGACTCTGCGGAGAACTTTCGCTCAAAGTCCGATGACTGTACGAATGATGCCGATGTTCAAACGAATAATCCCGAGGTCGATAATGATCGTCTCTGTGATCCGATCTTTTGTCGAAAGGTTTTGTATAGTTTTTATCAAATGCTCTTGAGTGATGGTCGGAAAGACGATCATAAGTTCGCGAGTATTGGTCTTTTGTCCGAGAGTGTTCCGAAGATCTTTCGTGTGTTCGTGAATAATCTGAAGGTCTATCGGGAGTTTTCGGGTGATCGTAGTGCGACGAGTAGCGATCTCGATCGTAGAAACGACGCCGATCATCGTGTCTAAAAAAAGAATTTTGAAAAATTATTAAAACTCCCGATAAAACAAGGGAGCCTGTGAAAAAGAAAACCCAAACAAAATAAACTACTTACCCCTCCCTGGGTCTTTCTTTTGATTTGTCACTGTGCCCATGCCCCACTCGATGGGAGTCGTCAGGGTCGAGGCCAAAGCGAGAGCGGCTGGTATCTAGCTTAGGCATTTTTGAAGAAGAACCCGGAAGTGAAACACTTTCAGGTGGTCGTTTAAGAACTGACCGCTGACCAGAATGACTGGCAGCAGGCTTGCCATTCTTGGACGCTGATTGGCCGTGTTTGTGTTGACTTTTCTGTAATAATAATGATAAAAAATCGACTCGTATCAGTAATAAGAGTAACCATGGCAGCCGTTAGCCAATAGGAACTCACTTCTTGTTGATGTTGTTGTCTGGTTTCTTCTCTCTTCTTCACGGCATGTCGATACAGTTTGTACAGCTTTTTGGCTTCAAAGGCGGTGAACTTGGACACAAAAGTCCACAAGTTGCTATGACAACAAACAAGAAGAGAACGATAAGTCCAAGGGAAGTTGACAGCTGCTGGGTGCAACGTGTTGGGTGCGTGGTCTCTTACCCTCTCCATTCTGATGCAACGTCATGATCTTTGTACTGTGATGTCATATCCATGATATGATCGCCTATCTTGAGCAAACACTAATAACGAAGAAAAGATTGTTATTGAAATCTTGGATCTACCAAACATTGCAGGAGTAAATATATAAGAAAACTTCTATCTTACGACCATCACTCCCCATACGGGGCTCTTCCGTGAGGGAGGAAAACCGTAGAACCCAGACGAAAAAACCCCGTAGCGTAGGATATAGATGTTCACATCAAACACATTCAACTCCAAGATGCGGTTGAGTAAAGATTTGAACGCGCGATCTAAGGCGTGAACTACACAGGGATGAAAGACAGCGCCGTGTAGCAGCGCATGCCATCCATTACAATACGAAGACCATTCTTACCTGTCTTGTTTGGGCCACTTGGTCTTTGTCTTCCACGTCTTGTTCTGGGCTTTCCAGCATCTTTAGAGCTCGCTTAACTGGACGCATCTTTTCCTTACACTAAAAAATCCATGTATATACCGTTAGCACGATTCAGCGCACAAAATCCGTGTTTTGATATTTTAGCCCACTAGCGCAGGGATAGGAAACCGGAGCGCACGTGCCCCCCCCCCCCCCCCCCCCCCACCCAAAAAAAGTTTACTCTCGACACCAAAATTTAATTATGCGCGGGATTCCTTTAGATCGAGAATCGAGAACTCGCTACTTACCTGTTGTCTATTTTTGACCCTTCACATTGCGCTGAATCTTTTAATTGGCTATCAATTATTAATAATAGATTAATAAATTATTACATACAGCGTCAAAGGTTTCCTTGTCCATGTGATCAGCCGAGTATGAATTGACGTGAGCGTGGTTATCATGTTTCGATTCTGGGGAACTGATTGGAAGTTGATCTTCATCCATAGACGACGATTCTTTTTTTTCCCGTTCCTCCTTAACTTTTGTTTCTTTCTTTTCTTTCTTTTCTTTCTCTTTCTCCTTCTCCTCTTTTGGAGGCTATAAGAAAGAAACAATACAAAACTGTCGGTAAACCTTGAAATTAAAATATAGTTAAAACGACTGACTCTAGTCTTACCTTCTCTTCCTTCTTTGCTTTTTTCTTTTCTTTCTTCGTCGAACCAACTTTCTTTTTACTTTTCTGTTTGGTTTCCGTCACCACTGGTGGTGGTGGTGGTTTTGACATCTCAGCCCTAGCCTCCCCTCCCTCTTTGTTTACTATCTGTACCTTGGGAGATGCTACAGCAGCAGGGGAGGGTACTGCTGAACTACCGGGTGAGACATCAGTAGAAGGAACGTTCTTTTTTGTATCTTTCTTCCTTACTCTTTTAATCTTGGTTTTCAGTGTCGCTGATGACTATAGAACAAGGTAATGTCACATTAATATATCAATGACAAGTTGATAACATCGGTTTGTTTAACAACCATTTTTCTTACAGGTACACATACGAATCAAAGGTGACGTAGCGTTAGTGCAATGCCTCTTCCCCTCTGGGGTCTCAGGTTTGATTCCTGGACTCAACATCACATACATTAGTGAATCATGGGTGGTGCACTCGCCTCTCACCTCTGGGGTCTCAGGTTTGATCCCTGGACTCAACATCACNCCTGGACTCAACATCACATACATTAGTGAATCATGGGTGGTGCACTCGCCTCTCACCTCTGGGGTCTCAGGTTTGATCCCTGGACTCAACATCACATACATTAGTGAATCATGGGTGGTGCACTCGCCTCTCACCTCTGGGGTCTCAGGTTTGATCCCTGGACTNGGTTTGATCCCTGGACTCAACATCACATACATTAGTGAATCATGGGTGGTGCACTCGCCTCTCACCTCTGGGGTCTCAGGTTTGATCCCTGGACTTGGCATCACAGGAAAGTGAAGTTGTTAGAGTCTCTCTATTGATTTGAGGGTTTTTCACCAGGTTCTCCAGTTTTCATCCCTCGATTAAACCCACTCATATTTAGAGTTTGCTGAGTTTGCTGACCTCTGACTGTTTTATCCTTGGTGCTTCTTACCTTTCTCAATTGCTCTGCCTTACTCTCCTGCATGACTTGTTTCAATAGCTTGATCAGGTATTCAGCCCTCGTCTGCAGGTGCTTGTCTTGTGGTTTCAAGTTCCCAGGGGGCAGGATTTTACTCGCCAGCTGTAGACCCTCGTCTGCTTTGATTGCTTCCCAGTTTCCCATACCGTGTTCATATATCCCCAATAACAACATGGAATCGTCTGATACATCCCAGGGGACACCCCAGTGGACACTCTTGGCAGGAAAAGTCAACCGATACCTGGAATTAATAATCCATGAATAGTTATTAGAGCATTATGCAGGATACAAAACCATGACTCAAGTATCCTTAGTGTAATAATTAAAAGAATTAAAAGAGGTAAAAGAATCTATTAATATTGTTCTTACTTTTTTCGCTCCGCAGTATCAACAGGGATCGCTACAGCCAATGGCTCGAGTTCCTCCTCGTGCTTCAAGATTGATGGCGCATTGATCGTAACATTACCGATTCTCAACGTAGCACCTCGCTTTTTTCCTACAGGAAATGAATGAAATAACAAATGAAGAGAACTATTCCATACGTGCCTCGTGTCAACGACTCATACAAAGAATCTTTTCCCTCATGGGAATGATACGTGGTCTGAAACAGTTGCGAAAACATTAGGCCCTAGATAAATAGTCTATCAATAGGCCATTTGCAGGAAATAATCATATGGCTGTTAATGGATGGCAAAAAAAACCCCAGATTTCTTTATTTAGATAACTTTAGCTGGATTACTAATATTACCCAGAAGCTCTTTCAAAATACTTTTATTTCCTTATTAGATACTTTCGATTTCATGATACGCAATTTAATATTTGTTTGTCATCCAGCAGAGCCTTCCTCAAGGGAGTGTTGGCCGAATTGATTTGTTAGCAAAGTGTTATATCAGCACGCGACTGTTTGTTGCAAATGGTCTTGACATCTCGGAGTTCTTACCGTCAAAGTTTGGATCCTCCTGTAGCTTTTCATTGTATTCCTTGACAGCACGTAAGCAGCCATCATGTAGAATGTCAGACAGTCTCTCAATGTCTTCCTTTGGTTTGTCGTCCAGTTCAGCATCAGTAGCTATAGCATCGAGCCTTGTTTGTGGTCTGCCAAACTTTTTGTAGCTTTTGACAAACCTTAATGAAAACAATGAGAATACACAGGTGAATATTACTAGATCAGACACCATAACTGAATAAAACTGATTCAAGTGTGAAGAACCACAATGCATGTTGGTCGTAAAACAGGTCTTCTTTAGTAGTCAAGATCAAAGAGGTGGTCGAACTTTAGAGGGTGTCAAGTAACCAAGTTAAGACAAGGTGTGGTCGAACTAGGGAGGTTGCTAACTATAGTATCCAAGGTAAGAGTATGGGAGTTGGTTGTACTATGAAGGTCACAGAGGTCATCAAGTAACCAAGGTAAAGCAAGGGGTGGTCGTCTTACTTTCTTATTTCAGAGTCATTGAAGCCTTCAATATCTTCCCGTTTTATAGTCCTTGGTCGTCCTCTTTTCCTCTTTGTGTCTTTATCATCTTCATCAGAACCATCATCTTCACTGTCTGACGTGGACTTCTTCTTCTTGCTCTGCTTTTTTCTGCTGGCTGGTTCTCCTTCGCTGTCGTAGTTCATCTAAAAATAATCAATAATGTACATGTATGTGATCTCAAATTTAGGTTATATTATTGACAATTGACCCAAGAGTGTATCATGCAGCCAAGGGCGAGCACGGAGGATGGTAACATGGGATCCTAAGTGGTTTTTAAATCCACCTCACACTATGGGTTAGAAACAAAATAGCCTCCCCTTCAGGCATTTGTTTTTCTAATAGGCTACCTGTGGTATGTAGCTAAAATGGACTTAGGGAGACTGAGAGCCAACAAACATCCTCTCCCCAAACCCCTCCTCGCTTCTTTGTAACACAGGGATCTCAAGCACCAAAGAAAGAAGAAATACACATCTATAGGAGGCTAGTAGCAAGGCAGAAGATCAAGTGTCCTAGGGGTGTAACATAAGGATATGTCCATCTAACCTTATTGACAGTTTTCCTAGAACGAGGAGGCAAGTACAAGGCAAGTTGTTCTTTCTGTTTCTCTTCTTCTTCAATCTTCTGCCTAATGTCATTAGGGATGATCTCTTCCCAGGTCTTATTGTCACTTGAATTTGAAGGTTCTGGAGTATTGATAGATTCTTCATCTATTGAGAAGTTTGCCATCTGTAAAACCAAACAGCAAACTATCAAGTCATGCTTAAGTCAAAAGGCATCAAGATATTGGAAATTTTAATTTAAGATTGAGAAGTAGGAAAAAAGTGGGAAAAAGAATGGTTGGAAAAAAATTTGTTTGTCTATATATGGTAACAAACCTTTTATCCATTTTAATGGCACTCTGCATTGGACCTGAGCTAAAAGAGTGATGAAGTAATTGTTAATTTTACCTTGAATTGGGAAAGCAATTCTTCACCAACTGTTTGAGGCTGATCATCAGATGTCCTCAGTTCTGCACGGCGCAAGATATCATCAATATCCATTTCCTAATGACAACAAATTATGTGAGTAGTGACATCACTGTTGGCATGGTTACCATAAGTTTTTACCTGTAACTGCGAGTCTTGCTCTCCTTCAGCCTCTTTGAACAAATCTTCAGCTCCAAACTTAAGAATCGATGCCAGCTCGTCCTTATTGAAGGGTGTTGTCCTGTATGAAAAGAAAACCTTCATGAAACCACAATGCTTCTAGAATGCAGGCATCCCAGCCACTTTTTAGACAAATTTGATAGGAAATATAGGCTGTGCAAGTTCTAAATGTAGGAAAATATATGCACTTTATAGGAACTAAAATAACTTTTCAGTGGCATAACCAGGGATCTTGCAGGGAGGGTGCACAGGCAATGATTTATTTGCAGAACCAAATAAGCCATAAAAAAGACAGAACCAAAAAAAAAAAAAAACGCCCAATATGCTAAACAGTGTAAAATGTAAATGTATCACTCAGCAGTCGTCTTATTTATAGGAAATATAGGAGGTTTTCTTTAAATATAGACTCTTTATAGGATCCTATACAAATTATAGGAAATATAGGATATATAGGAGGTCTGGGATGCCTGAGAATGTGGTTGAAAAGTAAGGACAACTTATTAACACCACATTTTGTTAAAGTTTGATTTGCTTAGTCAGTCTTGACATTTTTCTCTGGATCTATTTCTGGTAATTCTGACATTGTCACAAAAATCTCCATAAATTCATACAATTCAGCCAAGAATCTAAAGTTAACATTCTGAGGTATAAATTCAAGTACCACACTCTTAGAACAAACTTTTCTGATGACTTACGTGGAAGGAGCAGTTGGAGTCTTGGAGAGCACCTTCCTTCCTGTGGTATCCATTCTTTGGATTACAAGATGGTCTAAAACCATTTTACGTTTGGCTCTTTCAATGATGTCTTCTTCAACACTCCCTTTGGACACCAGACGATAGATGTTGACCTTAAAATAATGAATAGAGTCAGTCAATAGGTATTACACCTAATAAAAATTTTATTCAAGCTTTACAAAAATACTTCTTTCAGAATTTTCTGTTGACTAAGGTTCTGATTTTAGTACCATGAAGCAACTACTAGCATCACTTCTTTCTCTGAATGGGTAGACAAACCATCAAAGCATTTATAGAGTGTTTTGCAGCAGCAATGTTTTAGGGCAATTTTGTTTTGATGACGAGAGATTTCATTTCCCCAAGGAGAAAATTGCTATCTTTCTCCCCCACGACATGGCTCCCATGAAGTGTTATAATATCTTGACATTAGTTACTTGTTCACACCTGGTTACGCTGTCCAATACGATGCGCACGGGCCTGCGCCTGTAGGTCATTCTGTGGATTCCAGTCAGAGTCAAAAATAATGACTGTATCGGCAGTAGCAAGGTTGATTCCTAGGCCTCCAGCACGTGTTGACAATAAGAAACAAAAGTCCTTGAAACATTAAAATAACCTGGATTACAATCTGAGAAATGCAATGTGAATGGGTGAATGAGAGATATCTTTTACCTCAGAGCCTTCAGCATTAAAGTGATCCAAAGCCTTTTTTCTCAGATCCCCACGTATTGAGCCATCCAATCGCTGAAGACAAATATATCACAAGTCACTTCATTGGCAGGAAATACTTGGCTGTTTCATTTTATTTCTTTTCCGTTTAAACAAAACAGTTTTTGTAAATTGAAACAAAAGTGTCATTGATAATGTTATATGTAAATAATAATAATAGGGCTTGAATCAAGGGAGAGACCTATCAAACTCCATTATATATAACATCTATTCTTACCTGGAACAGAAATCTTCTGCGCTGCAAGTATTCGGCCAAGATATCAAGCATGCGGACCATTTGTGAGAAGATTAGCACACGATGACCAGTCTCTTTCAAACGAACAAGTAGCTTATCCAATAAGAAGAGTTTACCACTTCCTCGAACAAGATCCTGGGGGAAATGTACATAAAAATGGTTAATGTCTTTCCTTGGAGGGTTAATTTACAGAACAGCTGAGGAATGGGACATGTGTAGGAATTTCAATCCAAAGTTTATAAATGATATAACCATTCTACTTATTGGAAACCCTTGAAGCACAGGAGAGAACGAACCAACAATTCTACTTACATACAACATTTAGCCTGGTGGGACTCAATCCATGGGTGCATTTATGAGAGGCAAGTGCTCTCACCGCTATGCCGCTATTCCAAAAATCCACAATTTTTTTCTCAGATAGTGAATATCAAAAATTAGCTTCTAAATTACAATTGGAATTCAGTGATAGAGCCACTCTGTGTAATCCACTGTAATCCCATTATTTTTTAATGGTGCATTGTGGTCTACCTTGGGTACAAACATTTTTTGTTCATCATGTTAATTGAACTCAGTCTAATGTTTTTTCCCGACAGACCATTCATTGTAGCTAATGCATAAACTAATTTTAATCTAACTCTTCTTAGTGTTCACCTGAAGAGGATCAAATACCAACTGTGGATTCTCCAATGGACGTATCAAACTGGCATGATTGGCACACTTTTTTAACTCCATTACAATGTTAAGGAAGCTGTTGGCATTGCCTTTCAAACCCTTGTTCAGAGCCCTGAAGTTTTTCGTCAAGATCCACCTTGAAAGATACAAAAACAAGCCTTAAAAAGACCGCACATTATCTAGGTATGTAGTACATTTATAAACTTTGCAACCCAGCTAAATGAGTAAAAAAGTTTAAATTTTATCTAACCCTGAAACAACCTCTACAATGACCCAAGTTAGGGCATGGCTCACTCGCTGATTGAATCAGAATGAACTCTTCTTAAAATTGTATCAAATGCAAGGTTAACATGAAAATACACAAGAAATGCTACAAATTCCATAAAGAAAAAGTTTTGTATTTCCATGTTAAACTTGCATCCACAATACTTTTGAGGAGGGTCCATCAAGCATGTTGGGTTTGACCTACATGTACCTGTAATATTGTTTTTGTATTGAAGACATCTCCACTCTTAGGATCTGTTCAACCTGAAAGATAATATACCATGATGAATTAATAGTGGGCCAACAACAGATCTCTGTAGGAAGCCATATTTAAATTGAATGTTTGTTGTGATGCAGAGAGGAAGAAGTGTATGTAATTAACAAATCCCCAAAACAAACACCACGTCGCTATAACTCCATGTTGTATTACCTTCTACAGGCTAATTTACAAGGCAAATGGAAACATTGGAGCTTTAAATAACCTTTAATATTACCGGTACTAATTCAACATCATGATGTCTATATTACTAAATTTTACATCTTAAATCCTAGAAGAAACATAAATAACAATATGTTGCCACATCCTCAAATAGGGGCAGTTTATTATAAGCAAATGGGTCCCAGAACAGACCCCTGTGGGATGCCAAATTTTGAGATCAACTTGTGAATGATTCTTAAAGAATGAAAATCATACAATCCATATCAGTTTGATTAATTTCTTACTTTAGCTGGTAGAGATTTCTCTACATCTTTCTTTACTCGTCTCAACAAGTAGGGTTCAAGTTCTTTGTGAAGACCAGAAAAACCTTTGTCTTTTTGTTCTTGTGTAGAATGGGTATTTTCAAACTCTTCCCACCTGGCAAACCTATACAATCGAAAAATGCTTTGTCATTGCGTATATAATACACAGAAATTTGATAAAGGTCTTGGTTGCATAAACCTAGTTGGCAAGGATCACAGAGCTGTTTAACCATTGGGAGTCCTACATCTCAGGTCGTAAGTTTGTGAATCCACCCTTGGTACAACCAGGTCTAGATGAGCAAAGATGTTCCACTGGAAGAGTGAATATTGTTGACCACTGTATCTACCTTATTGAGTCTACCCCTTAACTGAATAAGAAGCACCCAACACGGTACATACTTGTCTGGCATGAGGAAGTGCAGAAGTGCCCATAACTCCTTCAAAGAGTTCTGTAATGGTGTACCAGTAACAAGAAGTCTATGGTTGGTATGGAATTCCTGAAGGACTTTGTACAGTAAGGAATCATCATTCTTTAAGCGATGAGCTTCATCAACAACAAGACCAGCCCAGTTGAATGTACTTAGAATGTGCTTTTGATAAAAAAAAGGTGATTAAAAAACAACTGTAACAACTTTATCTATGTAATTAATGTTGCGTGCTGATGTGTAGTACTGGTGTATATTAGTGCAGTTTTCGTATGATTGTGAAAAATTCAGGGCACGAACACATTTTCAGGCCATGACATGGCAAGGGATATGCCAGACCAACCACATTGGACGAGAATTTACTCTCCATCCAATCAAATATCGGGAAACTGGCATAAACACTGTAAGGACACGGTCATGCAAAGGTCACAGCGATGCCAAAACAATCACATTGTGCATGAAAAAAAACAGCCAATTAAAATTCTAGAAAGCATCACGGTCACGGTCACGGCACCTCACGGTTACGGCACTGAGCTTTTCACAGTCATACGAAAACTGCTCTA